TCTAGCCTTTTCTTCGCTGCAGACTGAGTTCCTTCAAGGTTGCAGATACGCCTTGCTGATGAGTGCCAACTAGCACGAAACCTAGGTTGGAGGCTTCCTGTGGCCGATTGCCTCCAACCATCTAATATCATCAAATCAATGTGCACCGTGATGGCGAGCTACCTAGAATGGTGGCCACATTGCAAAACCTGACTGATAGAATTCAGTCTGCAGCGAAGAAAGAACTAGACAAATCACACTATTTACTAGTGTCCAATCACAATTTGAGCATATACGTGCTTTTGATGATTTCCTGTCAGGTAATACAATTACATAATACTATATTATTCATAGACGTTTAAGACAAATGTACTTAACAGAATTAAAATTCAAGAGTATGAATTAATCCATAATAGTCAACGGAAACAATAATAATAAAAGGGATAAATTTATGCCTGTTCATATCGTATAGTCAGTCAATCATTGTGAATGCGTAAGTGAAACATGGATACTTGTAGGGGTAGAAGGGAAAAATAACTATTGTCGTGCCATATTGTGAATTGGCACACATTCGAATTTATGGGTCCCAGTGGCTTAATGTTCTACGAGCTCGTTCGCCTTGTAACCGAAAGGTCCTGGGTTCGAACTCTGGCGGTTAGTGTGTACTGATGAAGAGTCCCAAACTAGGCTGACGAGACAGCTGTCCAGTACTCTAGTGCTGGTTTTCCAGTAGTTTCCTAACCGATGTCAGCTTATGATGAAATCCTGTAACCAAAGATGAGCGAGTGTTTGATTTTATAATAAATAAATTGTGGAATTAGGATTGGAATATGCAATTATAACAGTACAAATAAAGATAATATTTACAATTATCCAGTGTGATTGGGATAAAAAACTATTGTAGGTTGGGAGATGACGGCCATCGGAGGAAGGCTGACTGAATGGACAAACGTTTTCTGAACATATAGATTGGGTTGAATATTTTCAATGGTAACTACCTCAGCTATTCTTGCCGATCGACCAATCGAGGTGGCACCTTGTACAGAATTGTAGGGACTGGTTTTTTATCAATCCTGTGCTCTGTATCCATTAGGTGTGACAATATGAAATTCCTGATTGACTTTATGACTTCTTTACCTAACCACTTTGTGCAATAATCAAGAAGTCGATTTTGGGTTCACCAAGTAGTTTTACTTGTGTAACTGTCTCTAAAAGAGCAGTTAAATTTATCAGTACACATTGATAAAATGGCCAGACTCTGTAGTTTATGTTTCACCTGCATTGGTGAAGCCTGACAAGAAATCACCAAAAGCACGTATTCACTTGAATTGTGTTCTCTAATTATGAGGAGCAGTTTAAGCGAGAGACTTGATAAATCTGCAGGAAGGGGTCTACTCTATGCCACAGATTTCATCTTCTGCAGCGCTAATTAACCGGTATTACGACAGTGGAATTCAAAAAAGACAGAACATCCATCCTTGACACTTATAACTGTGCCTATCAGTTAGCTAGTGTCATGATGTGTAAAACCACTCAGCACTTTAATATACTTTATTGTCCCATTGTATTTGAAGGTATTCTATGGAAAACCAGTAACTCCGCCAAATTTACACAGTTCGGGCAGGTGAAATTTCATCAGCTTCCTTTGAAAACAGAAATTATTCAGATCACCACAATATGTGATCAGCTTGACATCATAAATGGCAACCAAGAAAACAAGCGTAGATGCATGAGACTACATACTGCTATTTGAATGAAATCAGCAAGCACCAGTGATTAACTGATTGAGCACTGTCCAACTACTCATGTCAGACAGTCAATAGTATACAGCTTCATGTACCTATGATTGCTTTCGTGATCGCCATTTATGGTTTCAAGCAGATCACATATTGTGGTGATCTGAATAATTTCTGTTTTCAAAGGAAGCTGATGAAATTTCACCTGCCCGAACTGTGTAAATTTGGCGGAGTTACTGGTTTTCCATAGAATACCTTCAAATACAATGGGACAATAAAGTATATTAAAGTGCTGAGTGGTTTTACACATCATGACACTAGCTAACTGATAGGCACAGTTATAAGTGTCAAGGATGGATGTTCTGTCTTTTTTGAATTCCACTGTCGTAATACCGGTTAATTAGCGCTGCAGAAGATGAAATCTGAGTAACTAGCGTCAAAACTCGGCTTATATGAACTGGTTCCGCTGTCAGAGCTGAGTCAAACTGGTCACATCACTGATGAGCTCGACCATGGATGAGCGAAACGGCTGTCCAGTGTTTGGGTTATTTCAAGCCGGCTAGTAAGCAATTCTGGTTGATATGTGACTGATGTCCAACTACTCACGTCAGTCGCTCAGTAGTGTGTATACTGCAACTGTGTATTCCTCAAAACCAGTACATTCTAGTGTTGATTGGTTTTGCAATTCTATTCATCTTTGGATTATTCTCTACCCTTTTGTTTTCTCTTATAAATATGCTTGTTGAATTCACCCTGTCTGTACTATTCGCGCGAAATGATGACCTCAGCTGATGCACACTATTGTGACCAGTAGTGTTTCGTTTACGTAGGACTGTTGATGTTTTGACTCTATTATTCGAATACACATTAACTCTGGAGAGTGATCACAGTTGTCTTATAAGATTTATGCATTAGGCTATATATTTTTGTGGATTATATATTAGACACCAGCTATCTATGAGGATCCTAGTGTTGTTTTCAAATCCTCTGTTTTATTGACTGCTACTTTGCTGACATCGAAATATTCATCGCAGTACACCAACTGTTCTTAGCATTTCTGAATTATTCAATACCTGTGTTGTTACTACTTCTTATAGTTATTATTATTATTGTTTCCTAGAGGAACATAGGGCTTCAGCCAAACGTCTCCATTGCGTTCGGTTCTCTGCTAGTCTTCACCTGGCTCCAAGTCTGCCCACACGTATTCATCTCCTCATCACATGACCTCCTCCAAGTCACCCTTGCACTGACGACCAATTCGCCGCTTCCCTTTCAGGTTCCACTCGAGTAATGGCTTGTCTAGTGATGTCACTTGATGGTTTCCTCAGAGTATGGCCAATCTAATCCACCTCCATTTCTTCCTGCCTATTTGTTTCACAATTGGTTCCTGGTTGGTTCGCTCCCAGAGATCTCTGTTGCTGATCTTTTCTGGCCAGCCATCTGATCTTGAGTATTGAGCGAAGACAACTGTTGATGAAGGTCTGTAGTTTGTTTGAAGTGCTCTTCATGACGCGCCAAGTCTCTGATCCGTATAGTAGCACTGACTTCATATTGGAGTTGAAAATCCGGATCTGATTTTTGATGCTGAGTGCTGTTGACCTCCACACAGACTTGAGAGTAGTGAAAGCTTGTCTTGCTTTTCCGATTCTTGCTTTGATATCCTCGTCAGTTTCGCCTGTAGTTGAGACGATGCTTCCCAGGTAGGTAAAAGAGGTTGTTTCTTTCAGGTTCCTCCCATTTATTCTGATCGTTGTCTGTTGTTGTTGTTCTTGTCCAGGAATCTTCATTACCTCTGTTTTATCTATGTTCACCTGAAGTCCTATCTTTAATGCTTTTTCTGCCAACTTGTTGCTTTTCGCTTGCATATCTTCCAGTTTGTGGGAAATCAGACATATATCATCGGCGAAGTCCAGATCCTCCGAGTTTTTTGTGTGAGTCCATTTTATGCCTGTTTCCTCATTGCCCGCTGTTTGTCGCATTATCCAATCTACTGCAATCAGGAAAATCATTGGCGATAGCAGGCAGCCTTGTCTTACTTCTTATAGTTAACCAAGTTTAAAAAGACAGTGGACCAACATGGATGTAAGAAATAGGACTTTGACCCTGTGGTAGAGTATAATTCAGTCTTAGGATAAATGTATGCGACGAAAGCACACAGTGAGTGATACAGTATTATTTACTTACTAACGACGTTTCGAGCACAATTTATTGTCATTCATCATTATCATATATCATGGCAGTCACATAACTTCGTGTTGAATAAAAAGTAATATTGGTAAGTGGATGGAGACGTTGATCATTTGGGTCTTTTCAAGTATTGGTTTTGTGTAGGGATTTTGTTTGATTGGATGGAGGATTTCATCATGAGCTGACATCAGTTAGAGAACCATTGGAAAACCTGCAAGGAGTACTGGACAGCTGTTTCGTCCTAGTTTGGGACTCTTCATCAGTACACACCCACCGGGGTTCGAACCCAGGACCTCCTGGTCACAAGGCTAGCGACCTCGTAGACCATTGAGCCACAGGGACCCGATCCAATGGCCAGGCCATGAATTCTAACTTCTGCCAATTCACAACATAGTGTGACCATTTCTCAGTGTCTTCTTCTTCGATGAGTTACTGCCTCATCTTCAACCTGAGTCTTTATTCATCGAATCTGTATCTAACAAGTACTACAGGGAAGACGCAAAGCCAATACCTGAGATATGGAAAGCATTACTACCAATAAAATTAAAGGATGAGAAATAATAGTGGAATTATATAAACGAAGTTTGAAAGTTATGCGTGACTGTCTTGATATGATTATGAGTAATATATTGCGCTCGAAATCTCGTCCTTAAATAAATAATAGTGTATCACTGTGCTTTTATCAAATAAATTTATAATAATAATTATAATAACTTTGAAGAAAATAAAAGACAATTCAGTGAAGAAAATTCTCTCTATTGACGAAATCATCTTCAGAGGCTGTACAGTCGTATTTATATTTACGAAAAGTGTATAGTAGTCCATTACTGTGTAGTAGGGGGCGGGGTGACATAATTGACATAATTACTCAGAAGTGGCGTAAAGGAGGAAAGCGTTAGAAATTTGATAAGGTTAAAAGTTGTTATTGAGTGAGCTTTATTCCAATAAGCATTTTTGGTACAAATATGGAATTTGCGGTTTGCAGTACATTATTGCACCTGATTTCCTCTTTACAGGGGTAGTGATTAAAATACGGCATCTGCATTGATAATATTGTTTAGTATGAATATGAATATAGAGTTAAGTGAAAATATTAGCAAGAATACAACAATGAGAAAAGTAGGGCCGTTTACTTAGAGTTCTGCTCCTGTGGAGTGAGCCAGTTACATAGGCCGTACAATTAGGCGTGTTACTCGTCGAATTTCCGAACATCACCCTGCCTGGTTAAGCAAAGGACAAACCAAATCTATTCGCACCGCTATTCTATCTCATCTTGTGGATACAGAACACAAGATTGACGTTAACCATGCTTTCAGGGTCATTTACCGCATGCCAACGAATCTCAATTTTGCCTTAAAGTTCGACTTCTAAATATTGCTGAGGCTGGCTGTTGGGATCCATATTAACAAGCCTAATTTGTGCATCCAAAAGAAGTTAGTTCAGACATTATCATTACCCGCTTGGCCATCTAGGTTTGAATGATCCTCAATTTTTGTGGAATTTTCCTAATTTTAGTTGACATTCTATTTGCTGCTATATCTTTATTGTTATTATAATAATTTAAGCATCTTTAATGAACTGTAATTGCATTAATCTTTTATTTAAAAAAATACTAATATTGTTATTGACCACTATTCTAGAATATTCTATGTATATAAACATATATATAATTGTAGAGCCAGAGGAGAAAATTATCGGAAAGTATATTCTTTGCTCAGTCATTTTGTGTTTTATAGATATCTGGATGAATATTTTTGCTATACTTGGAGTTCCTCAGTAAGCTTGTAATGTCCTGCCTTACATTTCTCTCATCATATAAATGGGTGCTAAATAAGGCATAGAAGAGTTTTTGTACTTAGCCACCCGAGCATATAGTCTTCTATAGTTGCTTTTAGTTCTACCTGATGAGATAGATATATGCAAGGAGAGAGTTGTGTATAGAGAGGATGCTCAAAGTCTGACAAGATAATATTTGCTAATTTCTTTCAGGAGTCCATGTGTCTATCTGCAACGAGTTGGTGTAGCGAGACCCTACTCGCCCTACTGACAGCTTTTAATGCCCTTCGCAGTAAAACAAAGTTTTTCTTAAGTAGCCCAGGAAAAATTAAGGGAGAATAGTAAAGAAGAATAGATAGAATATAAGGATTAACAAACTTAGAAAGCAGAGACTAAGTGATACAAGACCGTCTTAACTTCCTTACGTGTAGAACGTTAAACGAAATATCTTTCTGGAAAGATAACATGATATAGGAAGACCAGAAAATGTATTAAGAGGAAATACACAGTCCAATGTATTTAGCATTCAATTTAGTTTCAACCCCTGAGTTGTCATCTAAAGTAGTGAGACCATGCAAACTAACCGCTTCATGTAAGTCGCGCTTGCGTCTGAAAATGAAGTTAATAACCAGATATTTAGAGGGATTAAGCTTCAAACCATTTCACATGGTGGAACGAACATGGATAGACGACTCAATAGAGGAGTTTATTGGTTGTTGCACACTATTTTCATATAACTGGTTCCCTTTATTAGTTTGTTGTGGTAACTTCGAATATAGTGGACTTGTAACTGTACGTATTTTGGGATAAAAGCATTTATTGTCGTACATCTTTCTTTGTTTTTGCTAATCATCCTGGCTATCAAAAACTTCATCAGTTCATAAAGTCTCTGAGGGCTGGTTTGAGGCAGTCACATATAGAGTTGTGAATTGCTTGGTTGGGATCCTCGGGATTCCAGGAACCAATGGCTGAAGACAGTTGGTAATGTGACTCAAAATCGTTCTTAATGGCCCAGATGCATTCACTCCTGATTTCCCATATCCGCTGAACCGTCATGTTTTCCCATATTTTTATTGATTCTCTTTCACATTTCCCCCTCATTGTAGTTCTTTAGAATCTCTTTCTCTGTTTTATATACCTTTGTTTCCCAAATGGAGTGTAGCAACTTGAGCTGGTGCACTTCTGTGCAAGGTTCTCTGTCGAAACTTAGCTAGTCAGGCAGTCGCCCCCCCCTCCGCCCACACACACACACTTTATATTTTTTCTGGTATAGCTTTAGTATATATTCAACTAATAACCTATTTTGTATTCAATTTTTCAGATTTGAAAAACTCAGTATTACCGTTAGATCTGCCTACCGACTACTACCTTATTTAAAACGTTGGATTGCTCATGCTGAACAAAAACAATGCAGTAAAATTGTCGCAGAGAAATTACCAGTCTTCCATTGTACTATTCCTGTACGCGCTGTAGGCAATGCTCGAGTTAATATGTTAGCTCGTTTAGGCCAAAGTCATAGCAATAATAGTAACAATGATAATAATAATTCTGAAAATCCATCTGTTTTGGCCCTTGTGACAAAACAGGTAATGCGTTCTTGTTAATATTATATGATGTGAATCATATTGTATTGTATTATATTAAACTTTGATTATCCTGTTTAATTCTATTTAGATTTCCCGTCGATTGGTTGGACCGAGGTGCCTTGGTCTCAGGTTAACATGCCCGGCTCCTAGTGCAGATGCTTCAGCGATGTCTGTTCATGTAGCTTGAAGTCAATTGGTGGGTGATGAGGTGGAGCACTTCGGTCCAGTCAGTCGATAAATTGAATTAAATAATTAATAAGACCCGTTGCGTAAAGGGTGACTCTCGTGGCCCAACTGGTCTAATGGCGTTTGAAACTATGGGCACTGGGTTCGAGCCTCGGTGGAAACACCATCACTTACTTACGGGGGAATGCAGGTACATCCAGTTGGTGAGTCCTGAATTGGACACGGGAAGTGTGCATCCTGGATTCCAGCGCTAGTTACCATCCACCAGTTGAATGTGATTATCCTGTGTCTCCATTTTCATCTCCATTTAGTCACAATCGTATTAAATAGTATGTAACGACAGAAGACAAAGGCTAGGCAACAGATAGTTTATTGAGAAAATAAAGGGGTATTTATAGATTTTTACGTTCTTTATTGTCAGAAGAGAAGCAACATCTTCTGATTGGTTATTCTGTACTGCTTGTGACTTTCTGAGTTAGTTAAGCCATATATCTGCGAATCATATTTGCACACATTAAGTCTGCTGTGATTGGTTGGTGAGTTCCTCAAGGTTAAGCTTTGTTATTGTTTTCTTCATGACTCTGATTCGGGACGTGAATATTGACGTAAATAACTGTCTACAATTTTGGCTAGTTAGCAGCCAGCTGTCACCACAAGTATACCAAAGAGTGAAATAAGCTTTTTCTCGTAAGTCAATTTTGACTTCGCCGTTGATCCTTTGGACTGAAGTGTTCATGCTCTGTTGACAGTTTTACTTCTAGTACGTCCGCTTCAGCGATGTCTCAGGATTAACACAAAGTAATTTGTTGCTGGCTGACTGGCAGTTGTGATCAAGGATGCGCAATCTGTCCTATTTGGGACTTAACAGCTGGATGTACTTGTAATCTCTGGGTTAAAAATGATGGATACTGGGTCCGATTCTCAGGAGGAACACCATCAGTCATTGGAGATTGCAGGTATATCCAGGTGAAGAGTTATAAATGGGACGAAATGCACATGCCGGATTCCACTGCTAGTCACCGTCCACTAAATTACTTCATGAAATAAGCTCCTGTGGAGCCAGTTACATAGGTCGTACAATTAGGTGTGTCTATCGTTGGATTTCCGAACATCACCCTGCGTGGTTAAGTAAAGGACAAACAAAATCTATTCGTAGCGCTATTCTATCTCATCTTGTGGATACAGAACACAAGATTGACGTTAACCAGGCTTTCAGAGTCATTTATCGCATACCTACGAATCTCAATTTCGCCTTAAGAGTTTGATTACTGAATACTGCTGAGGCTTTTGGAATCCACAATAAGAAGCCTAATTTGTGCGTCCAAAAGAAGCTAGTTCAGACATTGTTCTTACCTTGGCCATCTTGGTTTGAATGATCCTCAGTTTTTGTGGAATTTTCCTAATTTTAGTTGATATTCTATTTGCTACCAAATCTTTATTGTTATTATTCATAATTTAAGCATCTTTAATGAACAGTAATTCCACTAGTCTTATATAAGGAATCGATATTATTTAAAAAACACTAATATTGTAATTGACTACTAATCTAGAATATTCTATTTATATAAACGTATATATATATATATATATATGTATATATAATTGTAGAACCAGAAGAGGAAACTATCGAAAAGGATATTCTTTGCTCAATTATTTTGTGTTTTATAAATAAGCATTTGTTGATACTGCTGATAGCTGTAAAAACTCTCTGTGTTTGCCGAAAAAATTATGTTTAGTCCATTAACTTCATAAAGTGTATATTACATTAAGAATATCCTTCTAAAAATATTTACAGCCAGTATTCTTTTTCTGAGTTGAATATTTGTCTGCATGTCTGTTTTTTGTTTTTGTTTTCAGGTTAAGAATAACAATAATGATGTAAGTAGTACTCCTTCAGTTTCAGAGAATATCAGTCCTGATATATCTGAATCACCGTGTAAATTAACAGATCCACAGCAAAAGCGAAGACGTCGTCGACGGACTTATTTTTCCACTGAGGCTCTATCAATATTGACAGAGTTTTATGAGAAGAACTCTAGACCAAAAGGTAAGCTTGTGTCGAATCCATTTTGCTATTTCAACCGCTAGACAATTATTGTTATATATGTTATTATTACTCCCTTGGATTCCGACTGGAATAGTACATCTCTATTTCATCCCGTTTTCAGCAGTTTTTTAGGCGGCTCCACGATTTCCCAAAAGCTTACATTTCCTCTTCACATGCGTCGGTGGCACAGTGGTTAGGACACTCGCCGACCATGCACATGGTCCGAGGTTCGAGCCCCTGCCGGCGCACACCCGATATCTATGGTTGGCCTATGAAATTTGGGCTACCGATATCCATGCTGAAAATGCCATACTTGTACTGAAAATACGGTGTGGCATCAAGCTGTAACCAAAAAAAAGAAATCTCCTAGATGTTAATATAAGTATAAAACTTGGGCCCTTTGGTAGAGTATAACTCCATTATGGATAAGATTTTATTTTTGTTAAATCACACAGTGTTGTTATACAGTAAAATTAACTGATGACCACACTTCGAGCACAATTAATACTGCTCATAATCATATTAAGTCACTACTCACACAACTTTTTTTCTTCATTTATATACATGAGTGAAATTGATGATTAGACATTTGAATAAAATCAGTATAGGATAATGTACATTCAGAAATAATACTATTAGTGTTTTTGATCAATTACAATCACTTGGGAAATAAGACGAGTGTTTTTATAGTCATAATAAGTTACTTGTTAGAATGTTGTGATGTGCTTGAATTGAAATAGAATTTTAAGATTATTTAGTATCCTCTTCTGATTTGACTGGTGGTAATAATATCTTCCATATTTCTGGTGTTTGCATTGAGTTATTTCTGTTGCATGTGTTGGGTGTAGACACGATGAACCAGGCAGGATTCAGTAATCAATCTCTCCGTCCACCTACAAAGATCACTTCTTAGAATCTTAACCCTCTCCCACCCTATTGTGTGACTGTGTGGTAATGCATGCAGTACAACTGCTGAGCTTTTTTCTAAATTACTTATCTTCTCGGGGTCAACCATTCTTACCTTAGCTAAATTCTTATTTTCTGACAATCTGATTACCCCCGACCTACTAGTTTGACCTATATAATTGACCTCACAGTCATTGCAAGGTATTTTGTAAATTATATTATTTTGTTTAATTGTGTCCACCGGGTCTTTTAGCCTAAAGAGCTTGTCTCTGGGCTTGACTCTTAGATGTTACCCTTGGACCCCCAACACACTCATTTCCCATTTGGGTTCCCCTTGGGGGGCCCTGGCGCCTAATGTCAGTCATTCAATGTGTTTTCTATCCACCTACATTCCCTTTTAAATATTTGTTGGGTGGTAGGTTGTTGGTTGGTTCGTTGTACTGTCAGAGTTTCTTGTTGCTGGTTGACCATCTTATCTTCAGTATCGAGCTAGTGAAGGCAGCTGTTGATGGAAGTCTACAGTAGACTGGTGGAAATGCTTTCTGTGATGTGTGAGCAGAGTCTCGGAATCATATAGAAGCATTGGCTGACTTAAAATTAATGTTGAAGTACAGCATGCTGTTTCTTATGTTGAGTTCAGTAGTTTCTTACACTGATTTCAGATTAATGGAGGCGTGTGTTGCATTTCTGATCCTATCTTTGACATCTTCATAGTTGAAACGATGGTGTTTGCGTAAATTAGGTGACTTTCTTAAGATTTCTCCTTACTAGACAATTATTACACATTATTCACAATCTCGGCGAAGCCTCTGAAGTAAAGACTAGTGATATTCCTAATTGTGATGGACTGGATGGTGCGGCACACCGTGCATGGTGAGCGAGAAGACAGGAATACGTTGGGCCGATAAGAAGATTCTAGAAGATCTGGACTTCGCGGACGACATATGTCTAATGTCACACGCATCCGAAGACCAACAGGCGAATACCAATAAATTGACAGAAGAAGTAGCAAAGGCAGAATTTCTAGTGAACACAGAGAAGACGGAAGTGATGAAGATGACCAATCAACACCAACAACAAGTACTCTTCCTTCACTTTTCTAGGCAGCATATTGTTTCAACTACAGGCAGTTCGGCACTGATGAGGATGTCAAAACCAAGATCGGAAAAGCAAGGCGGACCTTCATCACTCAGAAATCATTTTGGAAATCTGCACTGAGCTTAAAAAACAAGATTCGGATTGTCCAACACCAATGTTAAGTCAGCTGTTCTATATGGGTCAGAAACTTGGCTCACGCGTCACGAAAAGTCATTTCTAACAGGTTACTGCAGACTTTTATCAACAGCTGCCTGCTTCGCTCGATACTAAAGATCAGGTGTCCAGAAAGAATGAGCAACAAGAAATTCTGGGAACAAACCGACCAAGAGCCTATTGTTCAACAAGAATGCCGAAGAAAATGGAGATGGATCGGACGCGCGCTGAAGAAACCGTTGTGTGACATCGCATGCCAGGCCCTCGAGTGGAAAACGATGAGTTAGACATCCGAGGGTGATATGGACGAGATCGTGTTAGGAAGATATGAGGGTATATGTGCAGTCGTGAGGTCAGCTGAAGAGGACTGCAGAGAACAGGGCAAAATGGAGATGTGCTGCCGAAAACTTATGTTCCACTCGACAATCCATTGGAATAATAATTGTTATGCATTAGTTATTGTGTTGTGATTTGCTTCACATCCCTGAAAAATACTCTGGAACTAATAAACTAAGTGTTTTTATGAATTTATTAAATTTTTAAAACAATTGTCAAATAAGCTCTAAGTGGACTTGTTTTAAATGATTCTTATACTTATTATTTATCGTTCTATCTGTCTCCTTGCAAGGCTTTTAACTCATCATTTCAAATCTCTTCTGCGTCCATTTTTACTGACCGAAACAGTTTCGTTTCCACGCCTAGTTTGAAGTTGTAGCTTGAATGGTAGATCAATCTAACATAGTTTAGGGTGACCATGTATAACCCTTTGCATTTGTTACATACACACATATTAAGGTTTGATTAGTTTACGGAGTATTTTCAGGTATTTTCAAGTACCGGCAATTAATATGAAGTAATTTATGACTTAGCCACTCCTTTGGGATTTATTTTATTTTGTTAATTAGTCGGTTATTATGAAAGTGTGCGGTGGTGGCACGGCGGTAGAGTGCTCGTCAACCACGCATATATGGTTTGGGTCGACGCATTCCCTTAGCTCGCTAAGCCACTAATAAGACTGGTAAAGAGGGAAAGTTGGGCATGTGGCTAGCAACCCCATCCCGTAAAAGTAAATACCACTGCTAGCGAAACTTTAAGCCTACAGCTTGAAGCCCTATGTTCCATTGGGAACGTCAAGGAACAGAATTAAATATTAATTGAGGAGGGTGGCTAAAATGTGTAACGTTTGGGCTTTGTGGTAGTTTTTAAATCCAGGATAATTGAATAATTGGATATCATACACACCCAGTGAAACAGTATTATCTACTAGATGAAGAAGTTTCAAGCTCATTTGTACCCACAGGACTCAAAAGCTGGATTTCTATAGTTCTCATCCTTCTTCCTTCTCATTCGTCGTACTGTTTCTTTCCTTCACGTTCCCCAGTGGAACATAGGACCTCAATCTAGTGGCTTGAAGTTTCGGTAGCAGTGATTAATTTTACAAGATGGGGTCGCTAGCCTCATGCCCAACCTCTCCTCTTCACCATCAGTATTTCTGGCTAAGCGAGGTAAAGGAGTGCGTCGGTCGGAGACCAAACCATGTGCGTGGTCGGCGAGCGTCCGCTATGCCACCGACGCCTTGTCGTAGTGTTAGTAGAATTCTATACATATGCTGGACAGGTGTATGTTTGGCTGCTAGCCAAAGTTGGTAGACAGTAATTGACGTCAATGTTTATGTCGCCAATATTGGTGGTGAGAAAATGAGAACAAAGACTTTGCGTAGGCGGATACAGTTAGCATATGGATGATCTGACACAGCCACAAAGAGATGCAAGGTTAACTTTCTGTGAGAAACAACCAATCAAAAGACTGTATTTTCTACTAACAATAATCTACAATAATGTACATTGAATCTATAAATATGTGTTGATTTTCCTCAATAAACGATCTGTTGCCTGGCCCTTGTCTTCTGTTATTACAATATTAGCTCGTCTCCCAGAGAGCGAAATGACCATTTGGTGTTTAGATAACTTTTAATCTGGCTAGCAAATCACTGTTAGGTTGATATGAGTGGTATCCAACTACTTATATCAGCCAATTAGGATTAGTAGTATGTGTAGCACCGTGACTTTGTGTCTTGTTGTACTTCACAATTAACGTTTCTTTGTAATGGCAATTTTTGGTATTGACAGGTGCTGATTTTGGTGCATTGGCAACTCGTATAGGATGTGATAGAGAATCTGTTCGTGTATGGTTTTGCAATAGACGTCAATTCGATCAGCAGTGTTCTAAGAAAGGATAATTTCACTAATACACCTCTGACACATGTACAAAAATTACCAGTAGTATTGAAGCGGGAGAAGACGAAGACTTGGTAAACCAATGTTAATTTAGAAATTGGTATCTCTGTATAGCCAAAGTATGTGTACTCCTATCTTCAACGCACCACTTTGCACAGATCTTCGTGTTGTGGTACTTCTGGACTTCATATTGTGTTTCTTTGTGTTCCTTTCACGTCTCCCATGTATCTCCACAACGCTGTATCATTTGCCTTCTCTGAAATCAAATGTATCTCCCTGCTATTTGATGTTTTTATGCCAGCCGATGAACGTCTCTTTATATACTACTGATAAATCTTATCAGTAGCACTCGCCACAGTATGTTATTGTTTTTTATGTCTTACTCTTCAATCTTTTTCTGCTTCACTTGGAGAAATACATTTGCCGGTGTCATTACTTTTATCTGCTTCCTTTGTTTTCTTTATATCCTTCTGGTATGATGGAATGTACTCAAAGCAAATGTTTGTCATGTTGTATATATAACGAAATTTAGTTTCAAATGCCTTTTTTTCTATTTTCAATGTAATAAAAAATTTTACCTGAAATAGTTTGGATTTTCAGGTTTCGAGATTGTGCTCTTTCAGCAGGTAAAGATTCTTTGTTGTTCAGTGGTTCTGTCAGTGAGTTGGTAGATGTCCAAGATTCACTGGTAAAGATAGTTGTTATGGGAACTCTTCTGAAAGGTCGGGCAGAGGCGGTGTACGAAAATGTGGGGCGGGCAGGTAGTGAATAGTTGGTAGTGGAGTTGGACAGCAAGACTGAGAGATGGGAGGCAATACAGAAGTTCCGTGAAGCTAGGATTGGACGGAAATCCACTTTTACTAACGGTGAAGATGACAAGTCTACCTCGTCGCGCGCTTCCCACACTTGATGAATAGTCTGAGACACAATTGTTGTCGTCTCAGTTTATTGAAAGTGTTTTAGAACACATTGCTCAGCGATTACAACTGGTCAACTCCGCACAGCGCATGAACATCAGTGATTTCCCAAAGATGACAAAACAGATACTGAGCGCAACCGTAGCCGCAATAGAGCTACCGAGAATGAACCACTGGGAGCAGCGCGAAGTAGCGGCGCTGCCAATGAGTACTGGAAAAGGTCAGTGCTTTGAATGTAGCAAACCAGGACACTAAAGAAGATGCTGCTCAGGAAGATGGGGAAGAAAAAATTCTGGGCAATAATAATGTGTGCCCATACACTCCGACAAGACTAGAAGTAGTGGAAGCAATCGACTGGGGAGCCATGTATTCTAAATTACTAGCGAAAGGTAAATAAGTCGTGTGTTTAATACCTACAGGGGCGGCAGTCTCGCTAATGGAGAAGAATCCATATTTGAGCGTCGGACGGTATTCACTGACAGTTCAAACAGTAGGTGGACACGTATTAAAAATCACAAGCACGTGAAATATCAGCGTTTATATTGCGTATCGCAAAGTAACCTTTCTGTTTATTGTTATGCTTCAGTTACGAGGATCATCTCTTGGAGCTGATTTTCTGCGATAGGTTAGTGTTATAATCAAGGCGAAAGACGCCAACTAATCAGAACAATTTATTCTCCTCTGACTTAGTCGAACTTAAATATGGCTAAGAATGTGTAAATATGATGTGTTTATTCCTTAAAATAAAAGTTTGTTACCAAGTCTCTCATTTGCTCCCATTACAATTCTTTGTGGTTAATTCTGTTGGATGAACCAATCATTAGGATAAACTGAATTTCTCAAATTTACTATAAATGTTTATATACTGCATAAAGGTGTTATAATAATAATCACCTTATTCCAAACAATAGTAATTATATATAATGGAATTCTCAGCTGTTTTTATACATATTGCAGTAATTTAGCTCCTTTTATCAATATGTACATACATAAAATTTAGAATAGTAATAATAATATTAATTAAGAAACCGCTCTACACAGAATGTTGGTGGCGTCGGTGGCACAGTGGTTAGGACTCTCGCCGACCATGCACATGGTCCGGGGTTCGATCCCCTGCCGGCGCACACACGATATCTATGGTCGGCCTGTAAATTTGGGCTACCGATATCCATGCTGAAAATTCCATACCAGTACTGAAAATACGGTGTGGAATCAAGCTGTAAATAAAAATAAGTATAAGTCGATAGTGACATAGATAATTCATGTAATAATAATCTTTGCTGATACCATGCAGTTCAGTTGCTCGTTTTAAAAGTGTAGAAGTTCTTTTCTGACATCTGACTCTCTCTTCACACAAAACCCGTGCTAAATATGGTATGGTAGGATTGTGGTTAGGGCTGTCTGCAAGCCAAAATTGTAGACAACAATTTATGTCAATTGGGGTCAGGAGAGAAAACAAGAACAAAGCCTAACCTTGAGGAACTCAACAACCAATCACAGATATATCACCAGACTGTCTAAGAAACGGCAACAAAAAGATGACAGAACAACCTTTAGCAAGAAAAAACCAATCAGAAGACGTTGCTTCTCTGCTAACAATAACGAATAATAATGTACATAAAAATCTATAAATATCTATTGATTTTCTCAATAAACGTTCTAGTACCTGGCTATTGTCTTCTGTCGTTACAGGATGTTTATATTTAGTTGTACAATCGTAAATTCTCACGAAGTTTCTAGCTGTCTTACCCTAAAGTATGCAAGTCAAAAGTTGAGAATAAAGAGGATGTTCAGAATCAGACAAGATAACCTTAGCCAAATACTTGCAAGTGCCTGTTGACAACAATGTCAATTAGCTGAATCAAAGGCACATCACTAGCCCTACTTACAGCCTTCAGTGTTCTACGTAATATGATATGGTCTTTCTTTAGAAGCCCAGGGAAGGATAAGGGGTAAAAATAAAAGAGAATGGACAGAATACATGAGTTAATAAAATTTGAAAAGAAACTGATACCAAGATTGTTGCTGCTCTATTTTGATTGAACTAGCGTATACACATATCCTAATACTTCCTCGCGTTTACAATTGTGCCCTAACGTTGCGATTACTCGACATCCGCAACGTAATTCAAAAGGCACTTGCGAAGGAATACGATAGTGTATTGTTGCAGCAATCAACAATTCAAAAATCGAGCGAGTACAAAAGGTATCAATTTTTAACATGCAAGATTTAGAGTAATAAATAAATGAAAGTACAATTACACAATGAAAGTATAGTACGATTATGAGTAATAAAACGGGTCACTACAATAGCCCCTCCGTAGAATGCAGGTAAATGAAGTTTACCTGTATTCGGAATGATATTGTAAATTACAAGGACAAAAAAAATATGAAAACCGAATTGAGGCTTTTTAGTTTTCTGAGGTTCGATTATAACTGTATATATTCGAAAATGTTAACAACTTTGAAACGAACTAAAATGTTTAGAAAGTTGTGCAACATGTAACAATAAAAGCAGAAAAATTATTATTAGAATAATAATGAGGTTGTTATTGTAAGGAGTTACAGAATAGATTTATATCTTAACATACAGTTAATAGCATAGTAATAAGGAAGTATGGAAATGACTTGGGTAAACATTCAGTTACCTCTATTTCCATGAAAGTTGGTTGTACAAGTGGAATTGTACAAGAAGAGATGGCTGTGCCAGAGAAGAGTGCAGCGGTAGCTGCTGCTGCTGATACGGTTGAAAGTGAACGTCCGTCAGCATGTTGTTGTTGTTGTTGCTGGCTGTTGTTACTCGGCGTTGAGGAGTAACTTGAATTGATGTTTGCTGAGGTTGGAGAGTAGCAGTTGGTTGATTGATAGCCATTCCAACAAGAGCAGTTGGCATAAGCTGTGGTAAACCAGTGGTTTGAATCAGCTGACCGTTAGGACCAACAGTCATGACTTTTAATGGAGCTCCTGGTGCCAGAGTGATAAACTGGGGAGTAGCATAGGAGCGTGCAGCCACAGTACCAGGTTGACCACTGACAGAGACGTCAGTTGCCATCATTGTTGCTTGTTGCTGATGTTGTTGGATATAAGCTTGCTGTTGAGCTGGTTGTAACTGATGAGCTTGTGCTTGAATCTGTTGTTGTTGAGGTGATTGGGTAAACTGTTGTAATTGAACAGCTGTAGGACCGGCTTGAGTAAATGGAGTTGCAGACCATTGTAAGAGTGTTTGTACACCTGTAGACAATGCTGAAGCTTGAGGACAGAGAACTGGAATTGAGGTGTTGCATAACAGCCAGCTGTTACAGCTGCTTGAGTATCAGGGTGAACTGGGATAGCAGCCGCTGTGCCGCCAGGTCCGGAAGTACTTTTAGCAGAAATATCAGTAATTATACATCCAAATGTTATGAAGTTATAAAAGTTAATGCGATGTGTATACTTCGAAATGATGTAGTCCATCAATCAGCTATGTCGGGCTCGCCAATTTGTTGCTGCTCTATTTTGACTGAACTAGAATGCACGTATATCTTAGTACTTCTTCGCGTTTATATCTGTGTCCTAACGTTGTGATTACTCGACATCCGCAACGTAATTCAAAAGGCACTTGCGAAGGAATACGATAGTGTATTGTTGCAGCAATCAACAATTCAAAAATCGAGCGAGTACAAAAGGTATCAATTTTTAACATGCAAGATTTAGAGTAATAAATAAATGAAAGTACAATTACACAATGAAAGTATAGTACGATTATGAGTAATAAAACGGGTCACTACAAGATAGATATTCGATTTCTTCCCAATCATAGTGCTGTCAATATTACAGGAATAGTATGACTGATTCAGTCCACGTGAGTTTTGTTCGCATCTGTAACTAAAATCAACAATGTGACATTTAGATGGATTTACTTTAAGACCATTTGTTAATATCAGACAAGAATCTACTCATATAAGAACAATCCAAAGCAGAAATGGTTAGATCATCGGCATAATTAATGAAGGTAGCTTTGGAAGAATGTGGAAGGTCATGCAAAAATAAAGAAAAAGGAATGAAGAGAGTACAGAACCTTGAGACACACCAGTTTCCGTTAGCAACGAAATGGAGCACTTTCCATTCAAACCAGCATTTGGTTTTTTACCCAAAAAATAAGACAGCCACATTGTGACCCAGTGTAACAACAGAAGACAAGGGCCAGGCAACAGATCGTTTATTAAAGAAAATCAACACATTTATAGATTTTAATATACATTATTGTAGATTATTGTTAGTGGAAAATACAGTCTTCTCACACAAAGTTAACCTTGCATCTCTTTGTGGCTGTGTCAGATCATCCATATGCTAACTGTATCCGCCTACGCAAAGCCTTTGTTCTCATTTTCACACCACCAATATTGGGGACATAAACACT